TGGGAGGGGCAGGGGAAAGGAAAGAAGGGAAAGGAAAAATGATGAGAAATGGAAAAAATGGAAATAAAGTCTTTGTAAATAGGAAAGGGTGGAGGGCATGAAGGGAGGGCTAGGAATGGGGAAAAAATAAGAACCAAGATGCATTATTTAAAGGTACAATCCCCAATGAGAAATGTATTTGTGTTGTATACTTACAATGTACCAATAAAAGAATTTAATACAAAAAAAAGACAAGAGTGATGAATTATTACCCTCAAATAGTAATTAAAAAAATAAATCATGACAAAATATCCAAGAACTCTAAGACACAATAGACTAAGTGTGAATTTTTGATGTAGAAGAGGGTACTGAGGTACAGGTTAAAGACATGGAAAATCTATTCAGTAAAATAATAACAGAAAATTTCCCAAATCCCAGGAAAGATTTGGACATCTAGGTACAGGAAGCATTTAGAACCCCAAACAGGCATGAACAGAAAAAAACCTCCCCCTGTCTTATTATAGTTAAAATGCCAAGAGTACAGAGCAAGGAAAGAGTATTGAAAGCAGCAAGAGAAAAATGCCAAAAACATTACTTATGAAGGCAAATCCCTCAGAATGACTGCATATTTCTCAGCAGAAACTCTAAGGGCCAGAAGGCTTTGGAATGATGCATTTCCAACCTGAAAGGAAATAACTGCCAACCTAGATTACTATATCCAGCAAAGCTACTCTTCAGACTAGAAGGAGAAATAGAGATCTTCCAAGAATAATCATAAACTAAAGAAATTCAGAACCACTAAGCCAACACTGAAGAAGAAATGTAAAGGAATACTGCACACAGGAAACAGAGTAGATAAGCAAATGAGAACTAGGAAAGGACCAGTATAAAAGCAAAATGACAGAAAATAATACATGCCTTTTATAATAATTCTGAACTTAAATGGTCTTAGTTCTCCAATTTAAAGATACAGACTGCCAGAGTGGATTTTTAAAAACACCTGTTTGCTGCCTACAAGAAACACACATCACCAACAAAGATATATGTACAAAGATTGAAAGTAAAAGGATGGGAAAATAGTATTCCATGCAAATGGAACCTAAAAACAAGCAGGTATAGCTATTCTCACATCCAACAAAACAGGCTCAAGCCTGAATTTAGCCAGAAGAAACAAAAGCCACCACACCACTTATTGATAAAGGGAACAATCCACCCAGGAGATATAATTGTAAATATAAACATATGAAACTTCACTGCATCAAATTTCATAAAACAGACACTATTACTCATGAAGGGATTGGTAGACCTCAATACAATTGTAGTAGGTGACTTCAATATTCCATTCTCACCAACAGATAAATCTCCCAGACTCCCACAAAAAAAATCAACAAACAGACATCAAAATTAAATTATACCATAGCTCATATTGGCATAACATTTACAGAACATTCCACTCAACAACTGCAGAATATACGTTCTTCTCAATAGCTCATGAAACTTTCTGCAAAATAAATCATATTTTAAACCATAAAATCAGTTTTAACAAATACAAAAACTTGAAATAATTTCTTGTATGTTTTCAGACCATAATGAAATGAAACTACAAATAAACAAAAGAAGAAACCTCAGAAAATTTACAAACACACAGTGATCAAACAATTCAATTTTGAATGATTGATGGGTTGTTGGGGAAATTTAAAGTCATACAATCAAATGAAAACAGGAACACAACATATCAGAATCTCTGGGATACAGAAAAGACAGTCCTACATTTTAAAAAAAAATCAGAGATCTCAAATAAGTAACCTAATTATGCATCTCAAGATCTTAGAAAAGCAAGGAAACCAAAAGTAAACTCAATACCAAGAAAGAAAGAATAAAGACCATAGTTGAAATTAATAAAATAGGGATTGAAAAGATCAATGAAGTAAAGAGCTAGTTCTTTGAAAAACGAACAATATTGATAATCCCTTAGCCAAATAATTGAATATTACTCAGCCATAAACAAGTATGGAATTAAGTCATTTGCAGGAAAATGGATGGATCTGAAACTCCTTGTTTGAAGAAAATAAGGGAGAAAAACAAATATTGCATGTTTTCCCTAATATGTGGAGTAAAACAAAAAGATGACATTAAAATAGGTAGCAGAGGGCTGGGGATTTAGCTCAGTGGTTCTGCCACCTGCCTTGCAAGTGCGAGGTCCCAAGTTCAATCCCCGGTACATTAAAAAAAATGAAACAAAACAGAAAGCAGAAGGGAAACAATTAGATGAAGGGGACAAAGAAAGAAAAGAGGGCAGAGGGATTTAAGGGTGGGTGATAGGGAAACAGATATAATCAAAATATGTTCTATACATGTTGGAAAATGCCACAACAAACCCTAATAGTTTTCAAAACTAATATCCACTAATAAAAAAATTTTTTTTTTTTTGGTACCGGGAATCAAACTCGGGATCTTGTGCTTTCGAGGCAGGCGGTGGCACCACCGAGCTAAACCCCTGGCCCCAAAAAATATTTTTTGAAGAGGCCCAGGGGATGTTTTTGCAATAATGGAAATGCTCTTTCACTGCACATTTGGGTGAGGAGTAGCCCAGTGGAGGACAAGGCAACAATGGGGACCCTACCACAGTTCTCCTGCCCACATGAAGCGTGGAACTGAGTTTATGATTTCATGCAACTTTAATCACCCTAAATTTAACTAGGTACTTTTGACACAGGCTAATATACTGGATAACAGGAGACTAGAAAGAGTGAACTGTCTACAATGAAATAATTTAGCTGTTTGTCAGAGCTTCCATTCTCAATATATGACACAGATGGTTCTAGAAAAAGGGTCTGAGGACCAGAGTGTCCCATTGACAGTGACATACAATTCCCTCGGTGCTCAAGTGACATGCCCAGGCTCCAAACTTTTTTTTTTTTTTTTGCCAATAGACTTGCCTGTGATTCTGGACTAGAGTTTTAGACACTGACCACCTGTTGTGACTGGTATCTAGGTGTCCTCCCAAAGCCTCATGAGGTCATAGGTAGAGCTTTTCAGAGGAGGCTTTATCTAGAGTATGTGATGCTGAGGTTAAGTGTGTGATGCTGGGATCAAGGGCGTGTGGTTACTAAATTAGTCCACTGATTGGTTTGACATAGTTCTGGGAGTGGATAATGGGAAGGCCCTCCCTGGGTGTGTGTGCTACCTGTCCTAAGGGTAAAATATAAAGAACAAGAGGAGGATTGAAGCTTGATGCTTGCTACTTCACTGCTTTGCTGCCTTCTGCCTGCTATGAACTATTTCTCCTCTGTGATGCCCCTCTGCCAAGCCATTCATCCTTGGAGCCAGCTTACTATGAAGTGAAACCTCTACAAACTGTAAGCAAAACAAACCTTTCTTCCTTTAACTTTGGGTGTATTTTGTCTCGAAGTAACCAAGACCACACCCAAAACCAGAAGCAAAAGGCATCACAGACAACTGTTCTTCATCTGCTGAGCAAAGACTTCACCAGGATGGGCTCAGCTTTCTCCTGTGAACTCACAAGTATCTGGCTGAATATGGCCCAGAGAAATATGAGCTAAACAATCCACTATGATCTCTTGGCAATCCTCCTAAACCACCTACTACAACATTGTAAAAGAGAAGAAAAAGAAAGAAAAGACAAACTGACAGCGTCTCACCTGTGGCAGCATTTTGAGTCTCACTGGAACTATTAATCCCATTCTTCTCAGACCACACTGAAAATTCATACAAGGATCCAGGCTGAAGCTCATGCAGGGTGACACTGGTGTCGGCTGTGCTCTGGGTGTCACCTGTGTGTCCGTCTCCAGTCCACAGGACCCAGTAGGTGAGGTTCTGTGGGTCTGAGCCCTCGGGCTCCTCCCAGCCCAGGCTGATGGAGTCGTTGGTCTGAGC